TCAATGAAAATGTATTTTTTTAAAAAGAATAAAATAATGACAAAGTATTTGTTAAAAAATAATAATAAAAAAATAAAAATCTGGAAGGATTTAAGAGGTTATCTACAGCGACGGTCACATTACCTTTTTTTGACTGATGTGAAATCAAAGCCAAGAGAATTTTTCCAAGTTATACAGTAGGTCACAGTCAGTGTAGAAACTTAACCGAGGAGACCCTTGTGCCCAGTGTAGCTATCTCTCCATCACTCTAATCCAAATCATTCCGGTTCATTAGCCAGGAACACTGCAATTCTACAAGTCATTGGAATTAAATGTTTGTACTAAACCAAGGTTTCTTCTTACAGAAATATGAGGTAAGATGGTGTTCAGCAAAGCATATCAATGGACAAAACCAGTTTTACAATTTAGACAATGATACAACCATTAGCCAACTATCCCTAAGGAAATGAAGGATGATTTGAATGTAGGAAAGCTGCAGAGCCAGTTAAATTCGCAGGTCAGAATATTCCATGCTTTTGTAAATGCTTACAAAGAAACTTCTTTTACAGGTTTTAATATTTTCCTTGCCCAAAAGTTTTAACTATTACTAATAAGAAATGAGAGAAATGCAATCACATCACACAATTTAAAAGATAAATATTCCTTCGCTCTAAATTGTTCTCAGTCTGCCAAATGAAAAATTAATCTATCCACCTCATGATGTTGTAAGGCTTTTCTGCTAATTAATGAAGAACAAAAGCCAGAGAAGGTTTCAAACCGGTTGGAAGTGTAAAGTATATTACTGTAAACTCAGTTGACGCTGCACATGCACTAGGATTGTCATTAAGTTTTCATAGTGATGGTTGTTTTCATTTATCTGTATTATTGCTTTGTGCATTTTGCAAATACTACTATTTTCTTGAAATTATATTTAGCATTTTATCAAAAGAAATAACATTTAATGAAGCTTGTGTGGTCAATATTAATTTATTTAAAACGAAAAATCAGTTTTGTTCATTTGATAGCTTTAAGAATAAATATAATTCAAATTCATTTTATTTAAAGCATATTTTACTATAACATCTGGGAAAACTCTGTAATCAATCTACTAGGAATGTTTTTATAGCTATTCTGTAGCTGACAGTGGGAAATACCAAAAGCAATCCAAACTCATCATTTAACATATATTTTAAAGACTCTGCTTAGTAATATTTTAATTTATATTCTGAATTATTAAAGGTTTTAAACTTAAGTCACAGAGCTATGCAATAGTGAGTATGCTACGCAGATAGCATGGATTTCCTGTGAATTTTTATAGATTTTGTTTCCCAGTCAGATTTTGCGTCCCAACTTTTACTTAAAAAAATGTAGTCTTGTAGATAGAAAGATTATCCTGTTAGGTCTTACTTCTCTCTACTTCTAAACTCTAAAAGATGTTTGGATGACCACCTTTTAAATATTTTCAGGAAGAGAAAATTCATAAATGCCTAGGATTGCCTTCCGAATGGTTTTAATAACTGCCCTTTGTCTGTATTCAAAACAAGTACCTTTCCTTATTATCAAGCTTGTATCTTCCTGTTTAGATCTAGGTGGAAATTATAGAATTTGGGGTGAGCCACTCCAGCTGGGCAGGGGGATAATTTTTTAAATCCACTTGTATTTGTCCTACAAGTGACAATATTTAGGGATGAGGATTAGGAAGTTGAATGAACAGTCTGAGGTGCACCATGAACAAGAGTGGAGAGGAGAAATAAATAGAGTCTAAAAGTAAAAAAGAAGTCATTGGAAAGACAAATATTAAGCCACAGGTACTTGACAAAAGTTTCATAAAATATAGATGTACCACAGAATAAAAATAATTGTTTTAAGTAAAGGAAATGGATGATTGATTTTTCTCCATTCAAAACAAACAACAGCAGGAACATCATAATTAATACTTTTTCAGAAGGAGAGGGCACATAATTGTAGCAACATAATTATTTTATCTTCCAATCCTTGTAAATACTCATGCATATATTTTATAAAGTTGATATAATTACATATATAAAATTATGTATTTCTTTATCTGAGATTACCTTAGATTTTTTCAATAACTATGTGTTTTATATAACCATAATTTTTAATGACTACCTTTGACTTGATACATCAAATAGTTATGCTACATAGACTGTGACCAGAACACTAGGCTAACCTGATATAAACTAAATTTTATACCAGGGTCATAAACCATAAAGTATGTCATCATCCCTTCCATGCTCCATGAACCTTCTAGGAACTCACCAAATGAAAAGCCACTGTTATCACCCATACTTTCCTGAATTTTACTTCTTTCCCAAGTGACTATGGTTTCTTTTCCTTCTCCTCATACTGCTTTTTGTCTTCCCTGTTGGTTTAACATCTCTCTACTACCCCTTTCTCAGCTGGTTCCACTGAATCCTCCTTGCTTTTTTAAATTAAAATGTTCCTATGCCCCCAATCTCTTCACAGAATGCTCCCTCCCCATCTTACTAAAGTCTGGATATCCAGATCTAAAGCACACCTTCATTGTAGCCCTCTCAAGCGATTGCTCTTTCTCCCGGATTCTAATTACGAGTCAGAATTCTTCTAATTCTTAAATAAAAGCTTCTAAATATGTGTGAAGTCTCCCAACAATTACTGTTGCACACTAGTATAAAATATATACTGTTTTAGTACAAAAGCTCATGCCTATAGCTATACCACACATTGCCCCTCCCAGTTACTGTCAATCTCTTGATCACTCCCCACATTTATTGAGGTACTAGTCACTTGCTCAAAATAGACCTCTCTACCTAACTTTATCTTCATTGTGGTCAATTTCAACATCTAAGTGGATGAATCACACCTAGCTTCAATTCTTTGACCTCATAAATCCCAATGACTTAAACTTCTATTCCACTCCCAACATCTCCAGTCTGGACTGTTGAAACAATCTCAAAATTATCTTCCTTCTACTAATCTTGATGCCCTCTAGTCCATTCTCCTGAACTTGTTTCAAATAACTCTAATTTATCCACCTCTTACAGAAGAGATACTTAATCTAGAGTCCAACAGCAAAAAAAATGCATCTATAATTTCACTTACTTTTGAAAGAAATCTACTATTTTATTACATTATAAAATAGGCAGAAAAAAATCCTGTAACATAAGCTGTATTACTGATTTTGTGATCAAGAGAAATCATAGATATTTTTATTTTATTTAAAAGTCACATATGTATAAAATATATTTATACTCACCACAACTTTGAAATTATGTTATTAGGTTCATTGCTATATGCTGTTATCTAATGTTAATAGAGAATCATACTTATTACTAAACCATAAATTTAAAAAATATTTTTATACCTATATTGTGATATGTTGATTTCTGTATATTTCTACATATTCTATTTTATGAATTAAAAAACATCATTATAGAAGGCTCCTGTAGTCTTCACCAGATAGCCACAGATGGCCATGATCATGACACATAGGCACACACACACATACACAAATCAAGAGTCTTTGACCTTTAGGGTAAAGACAAAAACCTATTTTCTTGATTCTAAGAGTGAGAGGATGTACTCTTATTGGCTTGAAAATGAAGGGAACCATGTGTCAAGGAATGCAGGTAGCCTTTGGAAGCCAAGGTCAGCCCAGGCTGGCGGCAACAAAGAAACAGGAACCTTAGTCTTTCTGCAATAGCCTGAATGAGTTGGGAAGTGATTCCTCACCACAGCCTCCAGATAGGAACCCAGATGAGTCCACACCTTGCTTTTGAGACACTGAACAGAGAACAAAGATGAGCTCACCCAGATTTCTGACCTACAAAGTCAAAACAGATAATAAACGGCTGTTGTTTTAAGTGGCTAAGTTTGTCATAATTTGTTATGCATGAAAAGATAATTGACAAAGGCATATCATTTTTATTTATTAGCCAATTTGAACATTTTTCATATGTTCATTTATTAATTGTAATTATATGTTCCTGTTTTGGCAAAAAAAAAAACAAACACCTTTTTTTCTTTTACAAAACAAAAGAGGGACTCAATATGAATATGTATGTTGATGGTCAAATCCACTGAAAGAAAGTCAAGTATTGAATGCAAAGTGTTTGCAGAGGTTCTGGTGGGTGCATTTAGTAAAAGACATCACAGTTTCTGACCATCACAATTTCACTATCTAACATGAGAAATGGGTCTACAAACCTAAAAGTAAGCAAAGCTAAACTAGATTCGTGCTTGAAGGGAAAGCATGGGTTGTTTAGATAGTGTGAAAGCTGGGAAATTAAAGGGAAACATCCTGGAAGAATTATCTTTAGAATCGATGTACCCTGTGAGGTGGACTTGGAATTGAGAACTGCACTATAAAGAAGGGAAATGATATTTTAGGCATGTGGGCAGACACAATGGGAAGAGAAGGGTTGGATTGACAGAAAACTCAAGCTCGGAGAAGGTAGACATGCCTACAAAGGAGAACACATGGAGAGGAGACAGTCAGCAGTAAAGCCCTTTACAACGGCAGCTGGCACAAATATATGTTAATTTTCCCTCCTTCGAGCCAGATTCCCCTTTAGAGTAGATGCAAATGAATTACTGAGCCAGACGTGATGAGTACATGTATCATTGAACTAAGAAAGGCAAGTCGAGGGTGTCAAACGCTTTAGAAAAGTCCTAATGTTGCCTCTGAAAGAGATGAATGGCAGGGCCTGAAGACCAGGCTTGTCCTGAGTCAGACCGAGTGTCACCTTTGGAAAGCCAAGCACAAAACCATGCAAAGTATTCAAGGGTGTTGCTTCGGTTTTGAATCTGGTGCTGTTTCTCCACTTAATTAGCCAGAACCAGGAAATTTTTCCTGCAGTAAAGACAAGCGATTCTTCACCTCAAACCATAGTATTGGTTAAAGTTTACCCATCCCAACCTGCCAAACTTGTTTATTTTAAATCCTTAAGCATTCTTTCTTTAGTCAGCGTACAGGCCTGAAAGAATGCCAGGATGCTGGTCATTTGACGAGGAATCACAAAGCAGCACGGAGGTGGAGGAGTGTGCATTCTCAACAGTGTATGATGTATCAGTAAGTTTAACTTTATTTCATGTTTAAAAAGATTCATTTCAGAGAGTGGTTTCCAATTCAGGCAATTATTCTGAATTGGAAATTTAAAGGTGTGTTGTTGTTTTTTTCCTTTCCCTCCTGTTGCTGGAGAAAATGATAATAGTAATGCTAATACTATTTATTTTAGGAAACCATGCTAACAATTTAATATTTAGGACTTAAAAGGTTTAATGGGTTGGATTTTAATTGCAAAGTTTAATGTAAAAATAAGATCATCACAGAGAGGGAGGGAAAACAGAGAGCCTAAGGTACAATACTATAAATTTGTAGCAGTGGAAGGATGGGGCATGGAAGAAAGTGTTTTCTCACTCTCAGTTCAGAGTTTAGAATATATAATAGTATTTTTAATATTCCCAAATTATGCATTTAATTGATACACTGAAAATAGAAGAAATACACAAATTGTGTAAGAAGTATTATATTTTAACCCCTATTTTGAAAATAATAAATACAAATAAAATTCCAAAAAAATAAATCTAAAATATAATGTCCTTTGAGACATTCCTTTTCTCTTAAAATAAAATTTTAAAAAACAATAGAACAATTTGTACATCGAATGCAAAAGTGAGAAGCAAATAAGTTATAAAAATTTTGTATTTTAGTAGACTTGGGTGTCTATAGAAATGAAAGTGACATAAAGGTAGAGAAAGTGAATAATAGCCTGAAATAAAAATCTGGGGAAAACAGAAGACCTACATCTGGGAATAGTCCAAGAAACCATTTAGCTCTCTTCATTCCTATTACTTGCTATTTTCAAAATTGTCCTCTCCAGGTCTGAAATCCATAAAAAGTCTACAGTTCAATTCCATATCAAGATAAATCAGTATGACTACTTTATAATTTTTTGCTCTGGTTTTCCATGGCTTTGTAGCTTAGAGGGATAGTAAGGGGTGAGAGTGGAGGGATGGGTGGGGAGATGCTGTTGAAAAACAATCCCTACTTTTCCTATTGATAATTGATGTCTGAGGTAATTAAGTCAGAGGGTTTTCTCTATTTGAAACACACAAATGAAACTTTATTAGTTTTTGTCACCAGGAGGTAATGTGAAGAAAATATATTTTATTCTTTGTTGTACATGCCAGTATCTAGTAGAATGCTTGGCAAAAGCATATTAGTTGAACCATTTAATTGTTCTTCAAATGTATTTGGTACCAACTAATTTCCAGCTAACAGCTCATCCATTTGATTTAACTGGATTTCATGTCATCTTTAAAGCCTTTATTTTTACACTGGACTAGTTTGTTTACTTTTCTAGTAAGCCACTCTGTATTTAGATATCATAATATAAACAGGTATAACATTAAGTCCTTGTTTTCTTTCCAAAAAATGATTGCTTGGATTATTTCATTCCTTCAATGAGATTCTGGATAATTTTAAATTTCTCTTTACCTCACACAAAAATATTAGTCTTTTTTATTGAGATATAATTGATGCATATATTACAATAGTTTCAGGTGTACAGCATAATGCTTCAGTATTTGTATATATTGTGAAATGATCACCACAGAAAGTCTAGTTAACATCTGTTACCAAACTTAGTAACAAATTCTTTTTCTTGTGATAGGAACTACTCTCTTAGCAATTTTCAAATGTACAATACATTTAATAACTATAGTCTCCATGCTGCACATTATATCTCCATGACATTTATTTTATAACTAGGGGCCCAGTGCACGAATTCGTGCCCCTTGAAAGGAACTGTGGGCCGCGAGGCTGTGGTGGGCACAGGGGGAGGGTCTTGGCCCATCCTCCGCACCCCCACCCAACCTCTCTCACTGTGGCCCCCAGTCCCCTCTCTGCTGGCAGCCATGCTCCCACCACCTCCACTCCCATGCGCTGATGGCACCGGCCCCACTTACACCCACCCACTAACAGCATGGAGCAATTGGGACCGGTGCCAGCAGCAGGTGTGAGTGGGGCCAGTGCCATCAGCAGGTGTGAACAGCAGCTGCTACCCCAATCACACCTCAGGAGCATGGGGAGGTGGAAAAGCCCTCAGAGGCAATCAGGACCAGAGCCAGGTGCAGACAGCGGGTGCGAGTGGTGGCCAGTGTTGGCAGTGGGTGCAAGAGCGGCTGCTGGGCCCTGATTGCCCCTCAGGAGCAGGGGAAGGTGGAGAAGCCCTGAGGGGTGATCAGGCCAGCAGCCACCACTCACACCTGCTGATGACACTGAGTGATCAGGGCCAGTGCCAGGCGCTGACAGCAGGTGCAAGTGGCAGCACAGGCACCAGCAGCCGGTG